GGCGATAGTTAGATAAATCAATAGTTGCTCATTAGCCTGAAGTAGCCTTGAGATGAAACGTGCTTGGCACTATGAGCCTGTAATGTGCTGCTGATGAGCCAAATGGGATATTATTGACAGTACTTGGCCCGCAGACCAAACACGGAACAGAAGGCCTCTAACAAAAAGTAATCACCATATGTAATTACATGATGTGTCAAGGCCTTTCGCAGCCATCATTGTCATCAGGCATGAATGGCTCCATAACACTGTAGGCCTTCATAGAAGACAGGTTGTTCTTTTGACACCTTAAAATCTTGTTAAAAACTAGTTCAAAAGACACATTCTTCAATTTGCACACTGTTAGACAATGTTTGGACTGTAGTACATTTGAGATCAAATATAAAAAACTTGGAGGATTACAGGTTCAAAATCTGCTTTGAAAACAAGTCGACTTATTCAGGAGCCCATTCAGTTCTGTTTCAACATGTTTTATTGCACTTTAGAGTTTAGATTTCATTCTGTAATAGCTATTAGTAACTTGAGCTGTTGGCCATTCAACTATACAGTCATTACAGTAACCAGGCAATAAAGTGGCTTGTGTTGGTAATCACCCAGGGACTTCTTAAGAAGTGGCAATGCTTTTGGAAGCCACACATTGGTGCGTAATTCCAGCTGGACCACAAAGCCATAAACAGCCATATTTCATTGGTCCATAGTGACACCATATCTGTGCACAGGTGCCCTGCTCCAGGTAAAGTGGGCCCCTGGATGGTTGTGTCACAATGGACAAAATGCTCATGCATTTTTCCTCAGCATCGTTCAAGGGCCACATGAGGGCAACATGGTGGCGCCGCGGTTAGCACTTGTGCTTCACAGCAAGATGGTCCTGGATGTCATTCCACCTCCAGGCCTTTCTTTGTGGAGTTTACATGTTCACCCTGTGTCTGCGTAGATTTCCTCAAGGTGCTCCGGTTTCAATAGTTCAGGGTGAATGAGTGCAACTAATGCTAGAATCCGGAGAGGTGTGTTCACTAACGTTCAAGCTCATGTTCGAATGTTAGTGAAAGTTCGAGCTCATGTTTTGAGTGACTGATAGATTTTTTTCCTGAAAGTTGAAACTTCTGGTAAAACCGTGATTGGTGTTGTTTGACATCTTTGACTTATGTCTTTGATATCTTTGACTTATGTCATTTGATTTTCCTGGTGTGCCAAGCATGCAGGGCTGATAGAGAATAGCAGAAATCAAAAGAACCACATGGTAAAATTGGTGACTTTTCTCAAATAGAAGCTCATTATCCCTGATGTCACAGAGGTTCTGCACAGTCACCAGGCTGGAGTCTCACAGGGACAAACCCGATGAAGCTGTTCCCTGAGCAGCAGCAGCAGCAGCTCAACTGAGACCTTAGGTCAGCGGTGAACTTTAGTGCTTTGACCTAAATATGCTTTATTTAGGAGGTTGAGAAATCCCCAAACAAGTGTGCTCTGGTCCACTAATCACTTGACTTACGAGTACTGCATTTGTGAAGTTGCAGTCAGAGTGACTCAGGAGTTAGAGTCCTGCAGGAACCCAAACTCTCCGTCCTGGGTACAAATGAAGCATGTAACCAGCTTCGTCTTGTCTGATCTGCACATCTGCATTGTATCACTAATTTCGATAGAAGATATAAAATGAACACTTGCAGCTTGTGTTGAACAGGAGAGGCATGGCATGATATTGAAAAGAAAAGCAGTCCTATCAAAGCTTGGCCTCCGGACAACCTCTACTTGTTAGTTCTGCGAAAATCATTTACAATTTACTGTATGTTACACCACATAAAGTGCAATAAAGATGACTTTGATTCGTATAAACACAGCATAGTACATCTATAGAGTATTTGAACAACCACAGAGTCCCGAGTACCCTCACCATATATCACAGTAAATCAAGTGTTTTTTCTTGTACCATGCTCTGAGGCTGTGTTTGCACACGCTTGTGTTTACTGACCTGAACATATCTCATGCTGATTAAATGTTTGGTTGCGTCTTTTGACCAGGTGCCTGTCTCTTGTAGTGATTCGTGGGATTCTGTGTGAGAACAGACTGGCCTTTAAGGACAAAACCTCCTGTTCACTGCATTGCGACTTGTCCCACTCGTAAAGTCCCTGGCTACAAACTCTTGCTGTCCTTTGCTCTCACTTGCCACATTCTTCCTGCTTCACTTTCTTGGCGGTTGCAGCAATACTTATGGCAATATGTTACCTAATATTCCTAAGTGTGTTCTCAGCTCTTTCGCTTGCTCCAAGGTCTAACACACAATTCATTCTGCATCATAATATTCTCATTTTAATGACAAACTGATTTAAAATTCTGTTTTCTATCAACACTCAAGATGCACTGATGAAGCCTAATGTTATTCAGCCAACACAGCACCACTCTGCTTTACCTGAGGCCTGTTCCTCAGACACCCACACTCTCACCCGGGAGCGGACCACACTTTGTACCTCATATCTAATGTTTACATACTCAAGCAGTTATTATTCACAGCTTTTGCACTGAACGTATTTTAGCTGAGACCCTCGCTGTTGGGCTGTACATAGATCAGGGCTGCTGAAAGCGGGTCAGTGTGGGGCATGCAGTGCGGGTCACTTCTTGCTTACACTACAGGCTGCAGAGAGACAGGAACAGCTGCGTTTGGGGAAGAGCATCAGTTATATGTTCCGAGGGAACCTAGTAAATTATTCCCATAGATGTTAAGAAGTCACTATTGAAATGATCTGGAGTGAGAGCAACAACTGCAGCATTAGGCTTTCCCCCACGGATCATCTGCAGAATGGTGGAGTTCTAGCAATTACATTAGGGCTGCAACAAAAGATTACTTTCATAATACATTAGCACAGCGATTATTCATCTGATTTAATTGATTTGATGTTTCAAACGCAGATATATGATTTTTATCGACATTTGATGCAGAAAAAGTGGAAAAGGGAATCCGCTGGAGGTTATTCATCCATTTCTAGACCCATTGTATTCACAAGAAACACTGTGAATACAATCAGTCTGAAAATATGTGAATCTTTTAGCTCTGAGGCTGTATTACTGTATACCACCTACCACCATTGTGTTTGTTTATCTGGGCTTGGGGCCAACACGCAGCTGTAATAGGTATTAAGTATAATTATCACACAACCTAAATATTCCTCTTAAAATCCTTTTCAAATCTACATCACACGTATTTTCATCAGGTGAAAGTCCCTGTGGTGTCTTGTTGTGACAGGCCTGATAGAGCTCCGTGTAAAATCAAACTAACTCCACGGCGAGAGCAGCCAAAGCCAATCCTTCTGCCAAATGCACCCTTTTGTTAACGGCCCATCTGATGAGCTCACATCCGGACCAGCGCTGTCATCGTGGGCCAAGCCTGCACACACACACACACACACACACACACACACACACACACAGCTTTCACTCTACACCGCTGCTTAAAGGCCTGTTTTATTCTTCAATTAATCATTCGTGTCCAGAAGGGCGGTCAGTGCCCAAACACGATCGATTGTTCTATCTCGATACGGGAAAACTGCTGACAATTGACAGCTTGATTAGATCTCTCAAGTGAACTATGTTGCTGTAAAGAGTTTTTGTTTGGTTTTAGAGCTTTGCGATACTTTTGTTGAGATATGAAAACAAGGCAGCAGCGATCGCACCTGTAACCTGGTTTATTATCGAGTCCCTTCAGATCCAACAAAAGAAGACAAACTAAGCTATTTACTGTATATGATTTGTATCAATGTGCATAAGAACAGAGATATCATCATTTGAGATATCACTGACGCTGAGCCATAAGACATAGATACTGTAGTAACAATGTGGATCAGAACAAATACATTCAGTTCTTCAAATAATAATATTTAGCAGTATATAGATGTTACAGGGGTCCACACTACACAATATGCAGGTCAGATTCCACTCAGAGGTCCCAAGTGACAAATATACAGGTCACATTTTCTCCTATTCAAAAAGGGTGTTTATGTATAGATGGACAATGCTAACCCACTAGCTATATGAAGCCCAATAGGAAAGTGCATGGATTGTGCTATAGAAATAAACTGAATTCAACTTTAGCGTCTTTTGCATTTAGGTATTGAGTTTGGCTGACAGTCCGCTCCTAATATACAGTCAATACCGGTATCAAATATTGGTGCCATTCGTGGAAAATTGTTGTATCAGTTTGAGAATACTGATTAAGCTTATATTCATTTACAGGATTTTCATTAATTCCGTAAACTTTCACTCAAACTCATAGTCACTGTATCAATAACACAATTGGACCAGTTTTGTGATAGTTGTGAATGTAAAACTTTCCCACGATTGATATTGGCAGCATTTGAAAGTCATAAAAATCTGTGTGGATGCATCCTATGTACAAAATACGTGACGTAACTTAATAATTGTGTGATGTTGGGACGAGGACTGAAGGTTCTTCCCAGTGTCAAATGGCCAATTGAAATGGGAAGAAGGTATAAACAAGAGTGGCATGTAAAGTAATGGGTATCAGCAAAGGCTTATATGGGGAGATGTTAGCATTTTATGGACTGGCTCTAAAATGCAGTGTCAGCGAAATGAGGAAGCACAGACCTTATCAAGACGTTGCTTAGATCACAGGCCAAAGAATCTTCACTTCAGCACTTTTATGATTGCTTCTTCTGATATTGACTAGAATATATACAAGTGGGGACACGCACAGCCTCACGCACACACACGCATGCACAAACAGAAACACGCACACAGACACACACATGGCCTCCCATAAGAGCAGGACATACAAAGACACTAGCACAGTGCGTATATATTATAATCACTGCATCCACCCTTCGCAGGGTGTGAAAGCATCACTTGATCCAATGCCAACTTGCCATTCCCCTCAAGGCTGTTAAAAGTCTTCATGCAAGATTAAAATCATCTTGTAATTGCTAGATTACATTTAGCAAAGGAGACTCTAAATGAGTTTCTTTCTAACGTGTATATTCTTGTTTTTATTGCAGCTACACACGCAGAGTGGTTGGAAACGGGCTGCCTGCTCAGAGGCAAAATCCCGAGGTTAAAGTCCGCACGCCTGATCCTGGATTATCGGCGGTCAAGGAAAGACTCGATCGCTTCTGCCAGGTAAACACGAATATTCTTTTGTACACACAAAAGTATATTCCAACTTTAAAGCTGTACCTGTTTCTCTCAATATTTTCACAAACTCACCCCCAGTATTTTGTTCTTTCTAAAAAAGGATGAGGTTGATAATTATATTTGTTAACTGGACCACATAATCTGAAACACTTTAATATTAAACAAATATAATTATCATAAAACATAAACTGTTCGGTGACTGGTCCCCTACAGTTAGCAAAAGGCCTGATTTTCAACGTAGCATGAAAGTTAAGAAGAAGTCTAATGTAAAGGGCACAGCAACCACAAACTGTGGATTATGTTGAGAAGAGAAAGATGAGAGGAAGGGGGCAAAAGTTCAGCAGTGAGTGACACATGGGCCGCGATGACGGGGGCAGCTTCAAAGTCCCCCACGTTTGTCATGTAGATAGGGCACAGGCTGAAAGGGTCCCGAAGAAAAGAGCTGCTTCACACACATCCTGGAGGCCATGCACACACACACACACTCACACATACACACACATACACACACACACACTCACACACACTCACACATACACACATACACACACACACACACACACACACACTCTCACACACACACACTCACACTTTAGAGCTGAGCTACACTTTCTCCTCATTCTGCCATTAAAATGGGGTGTCTTTTGATCTTGGGATTTTTGTCATTTTCATCCCCAATACACAAAAAAAAGGAACGTTTTTACTTGGATTTGTACAGTATATTTTGATTCAGGACATAAGGGTAAGCAGGGAAAAAACTCTGGATCCTGAATAGTCTCATTTTTCTTAAGTGTGCTTGAATGGGGATGACGGTCTCAAAATGCTAATGGTGTTTGTGTGGTCTATAGAATTGTTGCTAAAAAATAAAACAAATAAAAACAAGATTCTTGGCAGTGATGACCTCCCGTTTCCAAGTATAAGATAAAATATGAGCATATGACCTGCACTAAATCTTTTCGTCAGTTTAAGTGAGAATAAAATGAGACAATAGTTTTGTGGGAAAGTACTTCAGGGTCCTGGGGAATCCCGGAGATGTGAGTCAGGCTTTCAGAGCTTGGCTGATTTCTCGATGGCTGACAGCTTCTCATCATTTTCTGCAGACTGTTACGTCTCATTGTACAGAGAATGTCAAGAGGTCTGTTGCCATGGTGACTTACATCTGAGTTTTGGTGGAATGTTTAGTTGAGGGGTCAATTCACATTTATTTTACTCCTAACAATGTTGTCTAAAAATGCAATTAGTAACAGTCGTCCCTCAGCTCACAACATGCTTCAAATGATTTGCTTGAATGTGTGTCGATGCTAAACAGCTGTGCTCTTCTCTTCTTCAAGTTAATTATACACAAACTGTACAAGTGGATGTCATACAGATAAAGATAGAGCACGCTATTTCAAACTACCTGCCATGGCGTCCAATGTTTCCATAAAACTACTGGTATTTTGTTCTCGCCAAGGGTTTTTTATCATGTTTGGTTTTATTGTCTGATAATTATAATAATAATAAATAAAAAAAATAATGCATCGGTTTTATACAGTATATTATTATGTGGATAGTTGGAGCACTTTCTGTTATGCATGTAGTATTCACCCAAGGTTTAGGAGCATGATTCTCAGCTAGTTCAGTGAGAGTGATGAAGGCGATGGTAGTCTCTGCGGGACTGTGCTTCAGATTCGTACAAATGAAGTGGATCTGAGTCTATGATTTATTTAAATCCTGCACAACACATTTTCACATACCGCTTTCACAGACGCACATTTGACAAGTACATGGTTTGAAAAGTAGTTGCAAAGCTTTGACTTTTCTCTATACCCACTGCAAATATTAAAATGAATAAAATAATACTGCAAATATGCACGTCTGGGTACTTGGTGTAGTCTTGTCCTGTGTTACGGCCCGGCTCGTGAGACCATAACATGAGAGGGAGGACACGACAAACGGAGAGATTTAAACCCTCTGTGGGGCATTTATTTAAACAATAATAAAGTAATCTGTATGAAATCAGTGTAAGTGAGTTGTATGCTGTGGGGTGCAAGGTGTTGTATATGAAAGTCAGTAGGACAACTGTTGTGGTGCAAATGTTGTGTTGTAGTGCGTGTAAATGAAAAGACAAACTGGCGTGGCGTGGCGGCTGGTCCAACAGGGCCCAGAATGGTAGCGGCAGTCCGGGCACGCCGGCAGGTGCCCAGAAGCCAGGTGAGAGAGAGAGAGTGAGGGGAAGCCGCTTTATGAAGCATCCGAGAGGTCACATGACTTCCCAGCTTCCTCCCAACATCTCAGCAGAATGTCATACGAACACTGCCACCACAGGCCCAGCAGGGGGGGCCGTCACATCCTGCATCTCTTCAAATTAGATTAAATCTGGTCTGTAGTTTTACTGAACTATGGGTGCTTATCATAGCGCTTTTAGCTGGGATGAATATATGGCACATTCAGATCTGGTTGGATGACATCTTGCATTGTCTATCTAAAAACAGTGTATGCTGTAAACTAGACAATGGTCAACAAATAGATGGACACTAGGTACTTCCTCGAGAACAATCTTTGTACAACGGTGGCACAGACAGGAACAGAGCTGCTTTAGTGCCCTGACGAAGACCGCTGTTGGTCGAAACGCGTAGGCAGTCCACTCCATTAAAGGACTTTTAATTTTTTCACTAAAACAGAGTGCCTCAGACTACCTTTGTTCTCTTCTGACTTTCTACATGCTTAGATTGCCCCGTCTTCGAAGAGCACCTGTTTTTATTGCCTTCTATCACACGTACCCTCTGCAGCACTCACCTTTTTTACTTTTAACTAAGAGCTGCTTTAGTGTTTGAAAATCACAAATTGGTAGTAATGAATGCTTCAGTGTATCATCTGAAATATCCTGACTAGACGGGATATGCAATTCAGACATCTACAAACCACATGTAGGTGCAGAGTGCCATCCATATTTTCCTTTCGTAACCGAAAGCCTTTGAAAGTTGAATAAGCTCTACTTCCTGGATTAGCGGCAGTTGGGCTGGTGTATTTTTTAATAGAGGAAAGTAGTTGGTAACTGCTGCAGTAAGAGGATTGGCACAGCAGACACCCACACACACACGCACACACGCGCACACACACACACACACTCACTCTTCTGCTCGGGACATTGTGCTTTTGAGCGGCACATGCTAAACCAGTGCAAGCATACAGTATACACAACAAAGGTAAATGTTTGTTGCATAGTTATCCAGGCTCAGCGAAATGCATGTCAACACCTCGGCCATATTGATCTACTTTTCACCGCACAAGCCTAAGCCGAGCTGAAGTCGTCTCCTGTGTGTCGTATTGTTAGTCTTCCTACTCAGTGCCTGTAACTACTGCTTATATGGATAATACATATTTTTAAAGCCTATTTTTGACACGTAGCCTCCAGTCCAGCTGTGTCAGGGTGGGGACTCTTCTCACAATGGTCTTTTTATGTGAGCAAACAGTGAATCATTTGTCAGTCTCTCAATTTGTATATTTAGTTTAATCAGTAGTGAGATGAACAAGGCTACTGCGAGTAAATATTGTTCAAACCATGCACATATATCCAGTGATGTCTGAAAGCGTGAGTAAGTTATTTATGTTTTTATTGGTGGCACTTGTCACTACCTTCTGATCAGACAGAACCGTGAGTATACTGTAGCCCCTTAATGCTAAATCAAAGAATTGTCCCATAGATCATTTAAATTATCCCAAAATGAAGCTTTTACAGATGGAATCTTTATGGAGAGCTGCTTGAGCTGCACTGGGGCTATACAAATGTTACTCTTGAAAACAAATCAGATGCAGGCGCACACACTCAAGAATAGTCTTTTTGTATTATTTCGATGGAGTCTGAAACTTTTATTTTCTTGCGTTTGCCAGCAAGAATTTCTTGGATGTTCCTCTTAGGCATGCTTGGTTAGTGTGGTCTGAATTAGATTTCCATTCCAAGTCCATTTGAATTTGGTTCATCTTTGGATCTAACGCATTAGAAGGAGCAGTGATGTTTGTCCTTATAACCAAACTATAGATTCTTCAGTGGGAACATTTCAAAGGCCTCACCTTTAGATTCCAGCCCGTAGAGCTGCTGTTATTTTTGAGCTGTGCCTGTTGCACATGTAATGGACTGACTTTAAAAAGTTAGTGGGGACCTGGGGATAAGCGTGCTGGCAGTGTGTTTCAGGGAGGGGACAGATTCTTTCCACTTGAAGACGACGATGGCCGTAGACTGGGCTGTGCCGCCGCTGCTATGGCAACATCACACCAACAACTTTCACCAGAGAGCTCCGAGCCTGGCAACAAAACTGGACAAAAACAGAAAAACACAAACTTGATCACCATGACTTACCTTCTCCAACTTTTTTGTTTTAACTAGAATCAATATTTAGTGTAGAACAATGCAGTAGGTATTAATGGATTTTCCGATGATGTTGAAAAATCACTAGACATGTTTTTACTTTATGGACGACACATGACAAAAAGTAAAGACCTTTTACTTTTTACTATGCTGTTTTTCACTGCGATGTTAACGTGTCAGGATTGATAGAAAATCTCAAAATTATTCAGATTAAATGGAAGGAATTTGTAATAAAAGAAATAAAGGAGTCACACTATACACTGCAAAACATGATTAAATATGGGTTAATAATTGCTTGAATTGGCTGTTTTTTTTTATCTTAATATGAGTACATTCTGACTCTCTTAAAGCAAGAATTTTCAATGGGACAAAGCCATTAAGTAATCTTTTAAGAACTATAGTTTGCTTATCCCATTGGCAAATTTTGACTTATTTTTCAAAACTCAGGCTATTTCCTTGTTTCTACACCCTATCACCTGTCCATTTTCAATATGCAAAAATGCTACACTCCTATGATCTCTGGTTTCTAGTGGAGACCATCAGCTAAAATCTAGCACAGTCCTGGCGTGTTGAGGTTATCTGTGTCAGGGATTACAGGTCCATGTGAACTCACACGTTCACCACAGTATTAGAGCAAGTGTGTTTTCTGAGTAAAATCATTATGTAATGGTTTGGGATTAACATTGATTTAGTTACAATGTTATAATGTAAATCAAACATTTTTTATTTTTTTATTTTTTACATGTATGTGTATTGGAAAGGTGAGTGCAGAGATACATTTCTGTTCAGACTTGTAAACTCCAGATGACTGTTACTGTTGTGCATTTTTCTCCGGCGGTTTACTCACTCATTTCAAGGAAGGATGTGGCAGTTTGTTTGGATTAACTCACGTATCGCTGAATGACATGACGTTTAGTTGTTTTAAGTCATGTGTTGCTTGAAAGACCAAATCAATGGATCTTGTGAGAGGTGTGCTGGGATCACTTGTGTGCTTTGTAGAGCTCGCTTTGCCTCAGCGAGAAGCCAGTATTTGTTTGATTTCTTTAATTGAAAAAGTGATAATTTTGCATAATCCTGGACAACTTTTGAACGCGACTCTCTTTTTCACTGTCAAAAATGTGATAGAGGCCAAAAATACATGATTCACTGTTTTGAGAGCTAGGGATGAGTTACATGCATTTTATTACATATTTATTTTTTGTTGTTTAAAAGTTAGGTACTCCAGCTTTAACAAGAGGCCTATACTATGTTTTGTACCAGCATCTTTATTGTAGTCTAAATGGTGAAAGTATTCTTTTACAGTTGAAGGAAAACATAATTTCACTCTATACCAAGTAGTTTTGAGTTAACGTGTTAATTGCTATCCCATTAGTAATTATATTTTTTATGACCTGGAATATAATTGCAGCTGTATAAAGCCCTATTTTTCATTTCATTGGACTTAACAAAGCATCTCAAATAATCGTGTCACTAATGATCTTGCAATGTCAACAGTCTGTATTTTTTGAGCTATATTAATGTTGAAATAAAATACTTTGGTTGTGCTGGAAATGTACAATGTGTCTAGTTCCAAAGACGGCAGGCGAAATAACTAGCTTTCACTGGTGGCTATAGAGGCTTTTTTATTGGCCTCATCTTTAACAATTGAAGTGGACAGCAGCCGAAGCCCACAGCTGCCTGCACAGCTTTTGTAATTCTAGATTTCTTTCAGCATCAACAATGGCCACTTCTGTCCACTTTTACTGTTCCACTGCTGTATTATTCCATCCAAGAAATGAGGACGTTGTTGCCTACTGCAGACCAAGCCAATTTCAATATGACCACCTTTATGAAATACAAGCAGGAATTTAGCCCCTGATTCCCAAAACCCGCCAGCTAACCCCTCACTGAAGAATGCTTTTGAAAAGAATGCAAAGAGGGGATGAGTTGGCAGCCTGAGAGGAGACTTAAAATATTTCTTGAATTGGGATATCATTTAAAGCCTTTTGGAAATACCTGATTTGTCGTTGGATGCCAAAGTGATTTCAGGGAAAGTCTTGCGTACAAAAGCAGGTAGCTTGTTTTGAGTGCAAATAATCTCTACTTCTGTTCTGAATTTCAAGTATTTCTCATTTAATTAAAAGCGAATGTGAAGGAAAATAGAGAAAACGTTTACTTTAATACCAAGACAGATGTCTTCAGTTCAGCTCCATTGCATTTGGAAATTGGAAATTGTAAATCTACATTAGCACATCTACACAAATTAATTTGAGTTTAGTTTGAGCCTTTGTACAGAAAACTTCCTGAGAAGAGAACAGAGGAGGACTAACTGCTCTGGGCATGGGCCAGTGCACAGTACAACTGCCTGTGGTTTCCATGGCAACATTGCCTTAATTGATTCCTTCTCTAATTAACATGCTTTATGTCATTTGGCCACAGCACATTGTGCTGAACGTCAGCTGAACACCACGGCTATTATCCTAATACCCAACTGGTTATCGGCTCGCTGGTGGTGCACAGCCTGAGCTGCTCCAGTGTGCAGACACTTTGTCTTGCTTTTTTTGTGAGTGGCCTTTACACATTTGTGCTAACTATACATACACATGTAACAATAATTAGAGAAATAATTATGTAAAATAGATTTAGCAAAAAACAATTTACTTAATTATGTCTCCGACAGAAATTCGCAGTTTTGCATGCTTCAGAATGTTTCTGTTTTACATTTGAAGATAATTAAACACATTATCTCTAAGTACAGCATTTCAAACCTTGCCTGCGTGTGGTTGATAATAACATGTATGTCCAACACATGCCTCCAAACAAGTGCTAGCATGAGGTGCATACTTGCAGTCCAGTTTATCATTTTAGAGAAAGCCGCCTTCCCTCTCTCCTCACACACTGTATGTAATATTGATGCTTTGACCATGTCTTATACTCCAAAGCAGCATTTGTTGTTGTGTCAGGAGGGCTCCTTGTCAGTCATGATGTGGTAGTACAAAGACTACCTTGATGATGGTTTGCAGCAGGAGGGGGCAGCGGGTGGTCCAATTAGTGGGCTTCATACTGACATCTGACGGACCGAGGTCTGCAGCTCTTCACGCCCTCCTCGGCTCAACTAAAAAGTCTCTTGGTGCACTGCATTTATACTTTGTTGTTTACATGCTGATATGGAAGAAGGGAATAATCTGGCATGGGATAAGAGTGTACTGTAGATTAACAGAAGCCACTCTCTGGCCCGTAACGTAACGTAAACTAATCCTAATCTTAATTGAAGAAGAAATATTCTGCTTTATTATTGCCTCTTAAAAATGATGAGACATGTCACTTTGCCATTTATTGTTGTAGAATGTAAATTAATATTTCAAGTAGAGAAAGTATGGTGAAACATGTACGAAGGCCTGTGACTCCCTATGTTACCACCAGAGGGAGTACAATTTGGTTCCAAATGTTTTTCTGGTTCAGAATTTTGTGTGATTCCACTCCAATTGAGTGTAAATGGGAGGTAGGTAAACTGAATAGCAAAAGAATGTTAACTAAATAATTTGACTCATTCTAAAAGAGCTGAGAATTATCCTCTGGTCCTTTGCATTGCCCCATCTTTGCACATTTCTCTCCCTCTCTCTCCTCTGTGCACCTGCCTACTGCCTCTGTGTCCTGACGCACACAGATCTGATGAAATGTAATACTTAAAAATACTCACACCAGACCAATGCAGAGGTTAAGTATTTGTTAAGATAGACGCGTAAGGTTTAATCCACAAAAAAGTTGAATGGGGAAACCTAAGTATGGATATATTTTCGAGCCACATTGCATGCCACATTCCACGGCCACCAGGACTGGGTTTGACCTGCTCAGCGATATCCCCGGTAGTGTGCGTGTGCTATGCCAGGTTCTAGCCAAATTCGGGCTCATGAAAAAATGGTCAGGCTCGAGTTTGGTTTGGTTCGGGCAGATTCTGGGCCTGATCACAGCTCTAGGACTTTTTCCATCACTGTACTTTTACAGAGCTGAGACAGGAGGGTTACATGTTTGTGCCACCAGAACTTAGCGTGGAAGGACAACTCTAGGTCCGTCTTTGATGAGGGAACAGTGTGGTAGCATGGTTAAAAGCTCAAAAAATGCAATTATTTATTCATTATTGTTCTATATTTTTAAGGATACATCTCCGTAAAACCTTTGAATGGATTTGTTAACACACGACTAAAACAACCAACAACTAACGAGTGTCAAGTACCTGTTTTGGTTATCATGACATTCTCACTTAATATGGCAGCAATTACAGTTTTTTGGATTCATTTAAGTACTCCCTCGATGCCTCTCTGAATTTTTTTGCCGAGAGCTGTGCAGATGCCATGAAACTTGTTGGTCCCTGAAAGTTGATTTCAGGGACCAACAGGCTCGATCAGTGAAGTAATGCTTTTTAGGTCGACATCAAGGGAACAATGACTAGAGAAAATTGCTGTGGTTTAAGCTAATGCTCCTATCTCAGGATGGTTCTAATTAAATGCAATACATCACCCACGGAGCATAATGTTGTTTACCACACTCACCGGCTTTATAATAGACTACCAAAGTCCGATTTTCTTTTAAAAGTTACAAAAACGGTGTTATTCTATTGGAAGTGCAAGTTGAAGTTCTTGCTATGACTTACCAAACTACATCCAGCATTTCCACATCAATATGAAGCCTAGACTGCGTTTCCCCAGAGAGATGAATAAATAGGTGCGAGAGGTCGGTACAGTGTCTTGTACAATGTGCTAACATCCACTCTTTCCCTGCGCATTTTCTGCAGGAGACTCACGAGAGGTTCCCGAATCTGGGTCAGATAGAAGCCTGGGACGAGCTGGCCAGTGGAGAGGTGGAGGAGGGCAGCACGGACTGTGATGACGAGGACGGATGTCAAGCGTCCGGAGAGGGGCCGGACAGGACATGTGAGTTCATACATACATGTATACAGTACACTCAAAGGCCTCGCACACCATATATGAAAGCTGGAATTTTTAAAGTAGCAATATGTAAGATTTTCATGTCAAGATTAGGGCCATTTCATCCTTAAATGGCCCTAATCTGTCTAAAGGCATTAATAAACCATGCTCCTTTTTACTGATAACTGTAGTACCGCCGAGATATTAGAATTAAAACATTAGTTTTTGCCCCTAAATCCTGTTATTGTTTTTAATTTGATGTCCCGGCCTCAACTGTTATACCAATTAGAAAGTCTGTGATCTGGGTTGCCAGAACCCGGTGACATGTGGCCGCAAAACTAAAAAACAAGTCTCGTTATGATTCTCAAATCATTAATGACAAACAATTAATAGAACAAGGATTTCTATCGGGGCCTTTGTGAAAAAGGTGTTGGTTGTTGACAAAACTCTTGTCTGTTTTGTTATTATTATTATGGTCCCATAATAAATTCGTCTGCATATCTGGCAACCTGGGTCAGAGAGAGTGGGAGAGGTTGCAGTGCCACTTTTGGCCAGATTTTTACATACTGCTCCTTTAAATGTACACTAATGTAAAAATTGTTTGTTTATTGAGTAGATGCAATTATCAGCTATCATGTGCTGAACCATTAACATATTGGCATACAATATTTAAGTTAAAATGCTGTTTAAAAAGTTGTTTTTTACTATACATTTAAACAATATTATTGCATATAGTTGCCACTTACAGAAGCAGTACTTAAATAATCTGGTAATCTAGAAGCCATGAGATGGTACTCGTGAAGGCCTCATCTAATGGCCAAATATCCATCTGCTGCTGTTAGTATGGACTGGTGGTCAAGGAGCCGACCTGCGGGAATCTGTGGAAATCTGTTCTTTAGATTGTCTGGGAACCCGTTCAATTCTTTGATAGCTTTTTAATTTAAATATGAGTTTGTCTTTGAATTCTGAGCAGTGTCTGATCTGGTTCCCTGAATACAAAATGACATACTCATTCACTTAGTAGCATTGTATTAGAACTGACTGTGGTTTTAAAAAAAATAATTCAGAAAAGGAGAGAAATAATCAATAGTTAAAACAGTTTTGTTTGTATTTCGGCATCAAAAAGAAGAAACTCTTGTTAAAATGGCTGAATAAACACGCTGCAATTACGATCATTCAATATTCATCCATCAACTCATTAACTGACAATGTTGTTTACCGCATTTCTGTTTTCAAACAAGGATTAGAATCACATCCTGCATAGTAACGAGGGTTTGTTTACTTTAGTGAAGACGCAGACGCTCACTCATTTCGCCGGAACATCCCAGCTCCAGTATCAGTACACCTAGTCTCGCAGAGATTTACTCTTCCTGTTTCAGCACATAAAAAGACACATCCGCCGAACAGCAACTATTTTGTTACAGCCGTCTAAAATGTATTTCTTTTGGGAGTCGTAACAAATCACTGTGTGCCACCTATCTGCTAAGTCAGCCTCGTCACTCACATTCTGATTCTTTTGATCCCACTCCCATGCGGTAAAAAGTGAATTTCACCACACATTCAAAGAGATAATGACGCATTACTTAAATTTATGGAAATCTGACGGCCAAACTGGTCACCGTGCAGTCTCTCCAAGCCACCTATACGATAAGATAAGATAGACTTTATTGATCTCAGACTGGTGCAATGTACTTGTCACATTTAGCATGGATATAATCACTCAGATTGTGCAAAAGACAGAAGTGTGCAAACATGTTAAGATTAGAAAGTATAGTCTGTGCAGGATATAATTATGTACAATAACAAAAAGTGGCAATAAAAGAGAGAATGGCAATAGCAGTGCAGAGCAGGGTTTTCTCATAAGTGACTTGAAGTGACTTTTTATACAATCTGACAGCGGTGGTCATTGAAATTCCTCCACTGTGGGACGAATAAATAAAGGATCTCTTAATCTTATTGTTTTGCTGCGTTTGGATAAAACGATTGAATCAGATAAGATTAATTTAATTCATATTGTTATTTTCTTTTCTCCATACCATGCATGTTTGACCAAGCAGGTTTGGTAAAGCCTTGTTTCTAGTTTTTTACAGGTACTAAGAGTCATAAATACACACCATGCAAAAAATAGCAGCAGGTGTCTGGTGGTTGAGGAGCCGGTTGGAAAGTAGGCCACAATGAAATATGCTTAGATAAATATATGCCGGGACAAAGAAGGCTTTACAGGTTTGTGATCAACACAATTAGCAAGCAGTACTTTTAAGGCAATATAAGCCCAAATATAAAACACATACAACTCACTGTGCTATAGTCAAAGTTTTTCAATCTTAGTTTAAGCTTATTATTAGCTTATTATCAATCTTAGCTTAGCTTATTATACTGCTTTGTACCAACTTAACACACAAAATAAACTTCAGATCACTTTTATGAATGCCAAAAGTTTATTTAATGACAACAAATAAAGTAGTCCCAAAAAGTTTTCCCGTTGCTCGGCAACCGCGGGCAGTGGCTATGCTAGCAACAGTCAGGCTGGCAACTTCCAAACTAGAACTCTCTGGAACTGCATGAAAACTGAACAAAGAATTCTGAACATCAGCGGTGAGTGACCCATACATAAACCTAACCTAAATCCATAATTCGATCCTCTGCAAATGTGTCCGAAAATGTGCCGGTATCTACTCCCGGGTTTTTCGGGATCGCCTTTTCTCGCATTACATCAGTGTTTTTTTTTTTTTTTTTTTTTTTATTTGCAGAAAAAAAAAAGAAGACATACAAAACAACAGTGATACAAAAACATACATAGACATTCAGGTATACATAAAGGTGAACATACAGGTAGACGTACAGGTAGACGTACGGGTAGATATACAGGTAGGGAAACAAGTATTGGCGGTAAAAAGGGTTGAGGGGGGAAGGAAAAAGTTAGTTAGTCAACATCGGCGGTAACATAGGATTCTTTAGTTGGAGAGAAGGAAGCGTAAATAGAAGAGTGACAGTATTTGCACATCTATACACCCACAAACACACTATGTATATATATGTGCCTACATATGTGCACATATACACACATACACACAATACACACACATACATCCATATATACACATATATATATATACGTACACACATATACCCATACCCATACATACACACCCACATAACGCGTATATATCACACATATACTAACATACACATACATATTTAACTACATATGCATACATATATAACTATACGCCCGTGCATATACACATCTATACACCTCTATTCACATATACAAGAGAGACATAAAATAACAAGGTTGGGGTGGTGATAACAATAATAACAATCAGTAAGGAGAAAAGGGCAGGGGGACTGTAACAAGAAGGGTGTGTGGATCATTATTTATAGATCTTTATATTACATTTATTTATTTATTTATTTTTTAATGAATTAATATTTACTCGTGGGTGTAGTTGAGTACTAAGCCAGGCGTGACCCCCCCCCCGACCTCCAGAGTGCATCTCTTCCAGCACACCCCAGGACACCAATTCCGTGTGCGCTCGCTGCCCATTTTTGTGGATTTGTGAAAAGGTTTTCTTTTATCTTTTCCCCTGGTTTAATGAAGTGCATTAAAATAAGCTTAGAGCTTACCCTATTCTCAGTGTATGCTGTGTTGGGCCCTGACTAGTGTGTTGCGTTAAAAACAGAGCAATCATGGCCAGTGTGATGGGTACTGGAGGGACGAGACTGAGATGAGAGGGAGTAGAGCCGGCCCAGACCGCACACCCAACTACCCCCACTGTAGGATTTCATTAATTCAAATAGTTAATTCTGATATTATATAAACAATGATAAGGAATATTAATATAGTAATATCATTAATATCATTATTATTATTATCATCACTGCTAGTGTGATAAAATACATAGTTCTAAAATACACACACGCACACTCAAACATACACACTAATAATTAGTTATATTGTGTTTTTATTTTTATTTTTTTCCATTCCTTCTCTTCTTCCCCCTACATAATCTTTTTGGGATGTACATGTATGTACATCAGTGTTTTTGTCATGAAAACGTAAACGGAAAATTCTGAAAACTTCCGTGCACTTGTATTAAGACTGGATATGTATAATTCACTCTCCGATAAACATTTCATTGCGTTGATTGATTGGCATTTGCGTTTATTGAGCGGCCAGAACTACTTCCGGGGTTTTCACGATCGCTTTTTGACGCAGAGAAATAGTATTTTTGTCATGAAGACAAGACCAGAAAATTCTGAAAATTTCCGTGCACGTGTGTGAAGAATGTATATGTATAAGTATTCTCCGATTAACATTTAAGTGTGTTTATTGAGCGTGGCTAGCTCCGGAGTGGCCGGAACTACTTGCGGAGTTATCCACGCATTTGAAAGACAAGCAGAGAGTGCGTTGCCATGGGCAGCGGTCATTATTGTTTTGAGAGGTCCGTTATAGAAAATAATGACCGGTAGAACGTTTTGAAATTACATTCAAATCAATGGAGCGTTCTACTGCTGCTCTGAGGAGCCGTATAATAAATAATTATAGTTAACGCTGACCTAGAAGGGATCCAACATTCTTTTGAGTTAATAACTTTGCTGCTGTGCTAAATTTGGGCCATATCTCAGCAGTGTGTTTTAATTTTCTGGGTGTATCAAATCCCTTTGTACGTGTATTTTTCCATGTTTGATTTGTTTTTATGCTGCTGGCATCTTAAAACAACATTCCCCTCATTTCCCTTTGCTGTTCCACAAAATCTGTAGCCGGCTGTTTCCAGAGAGCGCTCATTCAACAGTACATCTGGTGACCAGCCATATTTATGCAGGTGTCTATTTTTGTACATCAAATTCATTGTCCGTTTTCCTTTTTCAAAAATGTTGCTTAAAACACAACCGCATGTGTCTTTTGAAAAGGCTTGCGTAGTGGCTTGCGTGCGAGGTTGCAGAAGAGACGCTGTGCTACTTAGAAAATAAGCAGTGGTGACCGACTTTTTCTTAAATCATAA